GTGTGTGTGTGTGTGTGTGTGTGTGTGTGTGTGTGTGTCATGTGAAGCTGTAGATGCCTGTCTCCAGCCTATCACTGCAGATTTTCTGATTAGACTGAAGCTGCGTCCGACCTGAAGTGACTTTATTCTGTGTGGTCCCAACCCCCCCCCCACTGATCTCACTCTCTGGGACAGATTCTGTCAATAACCTTTTTTTAATGAAATGGAAAGAGAGCATTCATTCCCACACCTTGAGTCATTTCATGGAAATTGTGAAGCATTATGTTGTGTTTGAACTTAAAACCTGAGATGAACAGACATCAAAATTACAACCAGTCATGTTTTTGCTTAAAATTGATGTAATTTAATCATTGATATAATTTTAAAAGTAACCTAAAATGCAAACATCATTACTGTGTGGAATTACACTGATTGTTAAGCGTCCCAACACCGATACTGGCATTGACACCAGCAGTTTTTCATTGGTACTTGTTCTCATACAAAATGCTCCAAAACTTAGGATCAATATCAATACAGGTTGATACCAGGATACTGACTGATACTCCAATGACTGTGTTACAGTTTACATTTCAAGTGAAAGGTTTGTCAGTTCCATGTTTAAGAAATTTGTACAAGTTGAAAGAAAATCTTATTTTTATTGACAATGCCTCAACAGTACATTTCATTCTGTATATTTGATTTGATCCACTCAGAGAGGATGTTAGTCTATAAGAAAGGAGAGACACCTAGGTAAGAAAATGTATTTTTAAAGTCATTGTATAAAGTTTACGTTCTAACTCAGTAAGTACCCAGTATTAGACATCACCAAAACTGAAGTACTTGTACTCAGTTTGAGGAAAAATGGTATCAGGACACTTCTAGTAAAAAATGACTATAATATTTATGTCATATTCTAAGCAAAAAGGGGCAACGATGAGCAGAAATTAATCATGAGTTTGTGCAATATTTTGTTTTGATTTAGACCAATGTCTTTTAACCTACAATAACCTCTCAGGCCTCATGTAACCAGCCATCCATTATTTTTACCTGCTTCTTCCTTTCTGGGTCATGAGAGTCACTGGTGCCCATGTTCAGCAGTTACTGTGTGTGTGTGTGTGTGGGGGGGGGGGACACC